AAAAAAAAAAAAAAAGAAAGAGATGAGGGAGGGAGGGAGGGAATGTGGAGGATGGGAGGGAGTGAACAAGAGACAGAGAAGGGGTCAGAAGAAGGAAGGCTAGATCACAGCTTTGGAGCAGGGGTTTTGTTTATTTGTTTGTCAGGGTCTCACTCTGTCACCCAGGCTGGAGTGCAGTGGCACGATCATGGTTCACCGCAGCCTCCAGGGCTCAGGCAATCCTTACCCCCAGTCTCCCAAGTTGCTGGGGCTACAGATGTCTGCCACCACAACCGGCTGATTTTTTTTATTTTTTGTAGACAGTGTTGCCCAGACTGGTTTTGAGCTCCTAGGCTCAAGCAATCTTCCTGCCTTGGCCTCCTGAAATGCTGGGATTACTGGTGTGAGCCACCAAGCCTGGCCCAGGAGCAGTATTTTGAGGGAAGGAGTTGTATACTATCCCTAAAGCCAACTGGGTGGGTTCGGCAGAGCAGAAGAGTGGCAGCTGTAGATGTCTGGCTTCTGGCTTTGGCAAGTTCCCCACTACCTGATACACGAGGGCAAAGCCTCTGATGGCTGCCTGCTCCGTCTAGAAGGTTGCCTCCATTCAGACCAGAGTCCCTCGCAGTCATCTTGCTGGACTTCACACCAGCTATAAACACCTGCCTCCCTGTCATGTGTCCCCTGAGGAAGACAGATTGCTTGCTTCTTCCATCACTCAGATTATTCCAGAGGCCCCTTGCTGCTTCCAGGGCACAAAGCCCTCACACGACTGTGTATACCATGAGAACCTATTATTTGCTGATTCATGCTTGCACCCTGGTCTGTGTCACCTGGTCACAGTGCCCCGGTTGTTTATTCTAGATTCTAAACTGCCAGGGGACCACTGCTACCTAATTTTCTTTTGTGTAGGAGGTGCTCAAAGCAAGGGTTTAATGACAGTCTTCACAACCATTTTAAATTTTGCAGCACCATTTGCGATGACGGAGGGGGGCTGGGGGAGTGTGGGGGATTGAGCTGGTTCTGTCAAAAAGCCTAACCTGTGGCTTCCATTAATTCTGGACTTTTTTTTTTTTTTTAAATTGATTTTTCACATCCTGTTCTCAAATACAATGGCTATCGTCTTTTTAAATCTCTGCAAATCTGATGTCTGACTCGGCTCCTCCCACGGTTCCCAGCTTATGGTTTGGAGTTTTTATTTCGTTAAGAAAGGGAGAAATTCTTGCTGGAGACCGGCTCTTCAGGCATTCAAAGCCCTCGCTGGCTTTGTCTGGAAAAGCAAGGTTTTTTTTTTTCCCTCAGCAGCTTTGAAGAAGGCATGTTAAATATCTCATTTTGTTTGCTGGCTCTTCTTGGCTCCGTCCCACCCACAGGGTGCTACAGAGCGACGTCTTTTGCGGTAGCAAAGGCATCATTATGACTTCCTAGCTGGCCTGCTTACTCATTTCTGAATCAGCCTTAAAAGCACAAACGTAGGAGGGCTTTGCACACTCACGCCCTTCCCAAGGTGACCTCCGGAGGCCTGAGGCCATGGGGAGAATGAGGCCTGAAGTGTCCAGCCTGCTGCAGGTGGGTGGACCACAGCCCTGCTGGCTTCTGCCTGCAAAGAAGTGCTTCACACACCCCAGCCACAACAGCGAAGCATCCTGGGGGGCCTCTTTCCAATGAAGGTTGCCCCGGCTGGCGCCAGGCTCCTGGACTCGTTGCCTTTATTTTCCCAGAACTTAGCCACCCACTGGACGGCCGGCACACGGCCCTGGGCTGAACCTCCGGAAGCTTTCATTTCCCTCTTAGCCTTGGTTTATTTGCTTATTTATTTTTCAAACACCAAAAAAGGCCGAAGATGGGAAACGTTGACCTTTTTGCACGCTTCTCCCCTGGGTCCCCTCACTGGAGGAAGCTAGTTGTGCTCATAATGGCGTAACTTCCCTCCCCCACCCCCAACCCCAACACATGCCCCAAAGCTGAGGCCAGAATGTGAGTCTCTCCATAGTGCAGACATCCTCAAAAGGGTGTGCGCTCCCCCCCCCCCCCATTTGAGCTCATCTGGTCCAGCTAATGAGCCAGGATGGGAGAAGCATCCGCCAGTCACGTGCTATGGGTGGTGATGGGGGTGCCTTCTCCCCATCACCCCACCCTGATGCCCCCATGGGTGGCTTTAAGCGGCAGCTGCAAAACCCCGGCGCAAAGGGCAGAGGAAGCCAGGGCAGAGAGAGCTGGCAGGCTCCGGGTGACACTAGTGACAAAATCGAGGAGCCCACGAGGGGCGGAGGAGGGGCGTCCAGGTGGAGCCGTGGCCAGAGAGGACAGCCCGAGCTCCCGGGGGCAGCGGGGGGTGGGGTGGGGTGGAGGG